ATATTAAATTTCATTAATTTAATATTTAACCTTATCAAATTAATGTCAGTTATTTGATTTAACACCAAATAAACATTCAATTTCATTAAATCAACATTTAAATTTATTCAATTAAATTTTATCTAATCAACACTAAATTAATATTTAATTTTATCAAATTAACACAAAATTAATATTTAAATTTATCAAATTAAGACCAAATTTATTCAATTAATATTAAATNGGAAAGTATATATTGGCAGTAGGATACTTTGTACCTGAAAATAATTTTGTTGCAGTATGAAACAATTCCAATTTTTCACAAATCTCTCTTGTCACCTCCCAATCATCTTCACTCGGACAAATCTTGTAATGAGAATCTCGATATTTCAANAATAATATTTAAATTTTATATATGAAGGGTGATGTGCGAAAAGTACTCAGGTGACGTTATGGAGCATAAACGATAGTAGAGGAGTTAGAAATTGATGAGATTTTGACATTAACTTTATTCATTATAATTTTTATTAATAAAAATTTATTTTTAACTATAAAAATTATAAAAACTCGATTATGTAACCAAATAAGTGATAATATAATGACTAATATTATAACAAAGTTATCATGTAACGCTTTAAAATGACAAAAATTCATTGGGATAATATAATGATTTAAATCACACTTGCTAGTCAGCTAATGGGAAAAGAATTGTAGGCATTTTAGTCCATTTAATAACAAAAGGTAATTTTAGTATTTTCACAAAATATTTAGTCAAATCATTANAATGACAAAAAATCATTGGGATAATATAATGATTAAAATCACACTTGCTAGTCAGCTAATGGGAAAAGAATTGTAGGCATTTTAGTCCATTTAATAACAAAAGGTAATTTTAGTATTTTCACAAAATATTTAGTCAAATCATTACTTTATCTATTGGCAGAGGCAAAATATACCGTTAATAGAATGTCATTGATTTGAAAGTATAACCAGAAGGATATACAATGAAATTTTAGAATTGGGAGGAATGTCATTGAATTTAGACTTAACTACAGATGGTGTAGATGAAAATTTTCCTCTATGTAATGGGGATAGGATCGAGGACATTGTAGTCTATTTATATAACAAATGGTAGTTTTGATATTTTCAGAAAATATATAGTGAAATCGTTATTTTATGTATTAGTAGAGTTAGAATTTATCGTTAAAAAAGGTATCTTTAATTTGAAATTATAAATAAGAATGGGGTGCAATGAAGTTTCAAAATCGAGAGGGATGTTATTGAATTTAGGCCTAATTAGAGGGGGTGTGGATGAAAATTTTCCATTAAGAAAAGGTAAGGAGGGGAGGGGTGAGTATAAGGAGAAAATCCAAATATTATTCCTTATTTGTTATGAAAACGAAAATGAGGAAAACAAATGAAACTACCATTTCAAAAAATTAAGAATTGAGATTTCTTCCGGTGTATTTTTCTCTATTTTTTCCGTTGATAAACCATTTATCATGAATTTATGTTAAATTCATTGTATATAAGTGAATTTTTTTTTAATACATGAGGAATGATCTACTAATAAAATAAATTAAGTCTAAATCTAGAAAATTGTAATTTATGATGTTGGTGTCACACCTCCACCCCCCGATCACATAGGGTGAGCAGCAGACCAGCCACCAAGGCCTTAACCAACCATCCCTGTGCATAATTAATGCAAAATACAGCGGAAGACAAATAATNCCGATCACATAGGGTGAGCAGCAGACCAGCCACCAAGGCCTTAACCAACCATCCCTGTGCATAATTAATGTAAAATACAGCGGAAGACAAATAATAAAATGATCATTTTCACCGACCTAATGAATATCAGAAAAATAAACTAACATCACCGACATTATTACTAAACTCATGTAAAACAATAATTAATCCATAAGGTTCACTACCCTAAGCAAAAACAACATTGTTCTCAAAACAATTGAATATTTGTCCCAAAACTATAAAAAAATATTTATTCTTGAAGACCTACAATAAAATAAATCTTTGATTCTTCTAATCTCTTGTCTATCCGAAGATTTACTCCTCCTCCTGATCCTCACCTGGAAAATGTTAAATATTTGGGTGAACACAAAGGCCCGTGAGTAGCAACCACCTCTAATGAGGTTTAAAAATAAATCCCACATTTCATATAAACAGAAATAAACTTTGTTATATACATAAATACAATAAATTGTACCCCAATCCCTTTCACAAAACCATGTAAACAAAATGATCTCACGATCATAATAATTTTGTAAAAAAAAAGACATTTATAGCTCAAAACACTCACATACACATTCAGTCTCAAATACACTTGTCAAATCATGTTTGTTACCACTAGCCTGGTAACTGGCCCCATCTCTTGTTATCACTAGCCTGATGACTAGCCCCTTCTTTTTTCTTTTGTTATCACTAGCCTGATAACTGGCTCCTATGTGCACATCCCTATACCGACCACGCCGGTATATAATCTCGTTACCATTTAGACCTGGTAACCCAGTCCCCTTCTCATAAAACATGATTTCAACACACACACTAAAACTGTTGTTTTAGTCCCATCATACACAAAATATCTCTTTCATCACCAAAATTATTTAAGTAATAATATAAAATCATCTCATAAGTTTTGCAAATTCACATGTGTAACAATTCACAATTGCAAAAATATTTAATTGCAACCTCAAACATCAACATATATCATATATATGAAAAATTTATACACACACACCCACAAGTTTAATATAGAAAATCCTCTCAAAAGAAGTAATAAACTACTCACCTTGATTTCCAAAATTCAATTCAAAACACTCTTTCTCAACCTCAATACAATCACCCCCTAATTCAAAATAACATATAACAATCAATCCATTTTTTCTTACTTCGTCGTTTCGCGATTCTATATTTAATTTTTATACTTCCTACTCATTAATATATACTCAATATATATTTTACATATAAATATCCTTTCTAATATGAGGTAACAGCGTATGGAAGTATTCTGGACTGTTTGAAAAAAAGTTTCTAAAGTTTTGGGGTTAAATCATAATTTTTAAAACTTTTGGGGTCAAAGTGTAATTTTATTAAAAAACGAATTTTCTGTTTTCGAGCTTGCCATAAATTTTCCAGAATTCTGTTCTTGCAACTTACCAAGTAAAAAGGTACTTAAAATTAAGTTTAGAAGAATAAAGGGGTCAAAATAAAACTCCTTGAAACTAAAGGGAAGCTTTCTGTATTTTTTTGGATTTGGCCTTCTTCTTCCAGCAGCTGAACCGAACCAGTAATTTTTTCTTTCTTTTTTTTTTTTTTTTGTTATTCTTTCTCCTTAGCATATTGATCAAAGTCTACCAATCTAATTTGGGCAAACTTCTTCAAAATTAACATCCATAATGAAACTCATTTATTTATTTACTAATATTCTTTACCATGAACATATATATATGATAAACCTAACACCATCTGATTGAATAAAATACAAAACTCATAAATTAAGTAATAAATCCATACCTTTAACGGATTCAAACCTTTTCTTTCCTTCTTCGTTCTTCTTCCTTCCTTTTTCTTTACTTCAAACCTAGCCTCTCATCTCTTCTCTTATTCTAATGTATGTGTAAATGTTGGGAAGAGAATATATATATATATATAAAGAGTTTAACCTATCCCACAATACTATCATATTTAAAACTATATGTATAAGAGTCCTAATAGGTCTCTCTGGCGCAAGACTTTTATTAGAGACATATTAGTCTTCTTTAGTTATTTTTATCCTTATATATATATATATATATATACACCTAGGTAGCCAATGCACCAAAATAATATAATAATTTTTTATGGGTAATTACAGTTGGAGGGTCCATGGGGAAAATATTTTTCCTCTTTTTAATATTTCTTCTCTCCTTTGTTGAAACCAAAAGAAAAAGAAGGGGATTAAACATTTTTCCCCACCTTTTTCGTCTATTTCCCTCGACCAAACAAGGGGTAATGCTCACTCAGTCATCTAATTGCTTCTTATTTTTTCCCCCTTTTCTCTTTGTTATCTTGGTTATGAAAAAGCAAGGTAAAATAATTTTTATCTATGCATGTGAAGATAAAATTGTATATATATATATGACTTTCTACGGACTTTACAATTACGAGAGTCATGCATGCATGCAAGGAATGATACGAGCTTTAAACAAAAACCTAAGTTTAACTTCAAATAATTCTAATGTTCTAACTCGATCCTTGACTTTCTTTTTCCTTTCTTTTTCANCCTTACAATTACGAGAGTCATGCATGCATGCAAGGAATGATACGAGCTTTAAACAAAAACCTAAGTTTAACTCCAAATAATTCTAATGTTCTAACTCGATCCTTGACTTTCTTTTTCCTTTCTTTTTCAGTCAAATCTTCGATTCTTTAGTTTTTATCTCTCCCCCTCTTTTTAGAAATAAAGGCAAAAACATACCACACTTATATCTAAGAATTTTCTTAATCTTCATCATCATGGAAGTAACTTGAAAAGAGTTTCTCATTCAAACCAATCATATTGTAATTTAAGTATCACCGTTTTTCTCTTGCCAAATCTACACCAAAAACCACCTTCTTCCACACACAGAATTACTTAAATTTTCTCACTTCTAAGAGACAACGAGAGTCATTCTCTCCTCTTTTTCAAAATCCCAAATGTTGAACAAACAATTTTTTCCATTCCTGATTACTTCAAACCATCAAGCGAAAGAGAAGGATGAACTGAATTTTTTTTGCCTTTCTGAAAAACCACACTATACAAAAAAGGATAAACAGCACAAAACAGTAGTATGGCATACAAACTGGCCAATCCATGCCGACACTATGGCAAAATCAAACGAAAAATCGACTTAAGATGAACAACATCAAATCCCCCATACAATGCAAGCTTAAAGCTAAATAATTTACAAGACATCATACAACTTTCTCTACATTTTGGCTAAGATCAACTCTAAATCACAAAGATGTCATTGGTCTTATTTGTGCAGATCCACTTGATTTTTGTAGTCTGGATAAAGAAAAAACATGGGCTGCCACTGGTCCACTTGCTGAAAGTAATCTCTTGAAGGCATTCTGACTCTGGCTCAAGAATGAATCACAAAACTATCTGCACATTTTTACCATCTTGGCTCAGACTCAAGAATGCTGAGAAGAGAAACAGATCCAGCAATTAGCCAGTGACCTAACTTTGCAGTTCCCAACCTGCCTAATAGCATAAAAGAGGTAAAGAAGTAACCAAGCAAGCACGTAGAGAGAGAGAGAGGGAGTACACTCACTTCATTTGTTGCACCAGAATAATTCCACCAACAGGAAAACTCACAAAAAGAGAGTAAATTGCAAAATGGCCAAGATGAGTGCCGTGCATTTGGAATTTTTAGAAGGGTTTAACCGGTGTACTTGTAGCGTTACAGTTACACTTGCTCAGGCGATGAGAAGAACCCATTCAAAATGAGTGTCACAGCTGTCTCAATCTACACCTACCAGAGAATTTCACCCAAAAACTAAAATGAAAAACAATCTCTTGGATTTTAACGCCCTTTGCTCTCACCACAGTCATAAAATACAATGCTCAAATTCTATAAAAGGTTTGCCCTCTTAAAAAACCGAATTGTTCTGTTGTAGTAGGGCCAGATTGTTTCCACAAAGTCCACGTACTTCTCCACCAACCAGCCTTCAATATCTGTCATCTTTCTTTTTAAGAGCTCTTTGTAGTCTTTGTTCTTAATGTCCAACAAAGGTTGCCATAAATAAGCTCGTATGTGTTTTTTGAATTCCCCAGGAGTCATGCAATTGTAAGCCAGTAAACAGTAGGTGGGCAAGTTCTTGACTACTTTAACTGTCTGCTTGAAGCTGAAAGCATAAAGTGCCCATAAGCCCTGGAACATCTTGACATAGAGAGCGACAATCAAAGGCCCAATAATCCACAAAGGGGTCAACTCTTTCGAAACATCAGCTCCATAGATTACATTGACAGCCAGGAAGAATGGAATGCTGCCAATCAGAAAAATAAACACAAGAAAATTATATTTAGTACTGACATGCAATGCATATGTCATCATTCTAGATGATGACAAAAAAACAAATGTCAAAAAATTTCTCATGTTAAAGAAAACATTTTAACAATAAACAAGGCAATTGTGGAACCATCAACTCCAAAGAGTCAGGATACTGAACTAATAATGATGCCCTGTTAATATTCCACAATACAAATTCGTTATTCTGATTACAGAAATCACTCGATTAACAAGATTTCTTTCACTTTTTCCTCATCCCATGTTGGAACTTATCCAAGTTGTCAAATTTCAATAATGTCACAGGTAAAGAGCATTATAATGACATCCTCTTGAACTAAACCCAATGTTCAAGTAAATTTAATGTTGCGCTCCACTGGAATACTCAATCAATATAAAAGACAAGAATTCCAAAAATCAGTGGCATCCAAATAATTGCACATGATCTCAATAAAACAAGGGAAAACATCTGAAGGTTTAAAAAGTTAAGAATGACATTGTTTCAGGAAGCTTGACCCAAGCAAAGTAAAACATGTCTTCTAGTCAAAAGGCAGAACAACATGGTGTCTGGTCTATTTTCCCTTCCCAATTCTTCAATTTTTCTATGCAAAATAAAGAAACAGAGCTCCCTTACAACAATGAGATAAATAAGAATACCTCCAACTTTAACTCACTAATTTGTACATAAAAATATATGAGATTCAAATATAACTTACAATATTAACAAAGGCATCTTTATGGCCGCATCCAGACCCAGAAAGTAGCACCAAATCACCTTCAGAATCTCACCTCTTTCTTTGTTTTGAATCCCATTTTGCATATCTGAAATTTTCCTTGAGGATGCTCCTCCCACACTTTCATCTACCATTTGATGCGATGATGGTGTTCGCAACAATGTCAACCAATTCTTGAATAGTTTTTGTATAGCTGCAGACCCTGCTTTGCTCTCATCTGCTTCAGATGTGTAGGAAACTGGTACATTCTTCACCTTTGCAGAATTGGTCAATGTGTGTTCACTCTCTTTGGGTACCCAGGAAAATTTGACAGGATTACTTGGCGGCTTTGTTCCACTTGCTCGGCCTCCTGATTCAACATTTTGGCCAATAGCTTTGAAGGCTGAAATCTTAAATGATTTCCCCTTTGGTCCGAGGACAAAGGGAGCTCCTACACTGTGAAAACAAGACATCAGATTTGCAGATATAAAAGGGCACAAAGCTCCAATATGATTGTACTGCAAGAGGAAGAATGTCCATGAAAGGAGAAAGTCCATTAGCTCCCCACAGCATAAAAAAGCAAAAAACTAAACTATCCTTCATCAAGTGACAGAGAACAAGAATTACATAAAAGGAAAAGAAACGAAGGAAATGACTTTCTCACTAGAAATATTATTTATAATCTTTAAAGTGATTACACACTTTATATGGCATAAACTTGTGGCGAAAACGCAAAATGATAATGATGTCAGTTGTCAAGGAAGACATGATGGAATAATTTAACGTCATCAAAAGTGCATATACAACCTAAGAGAAGTCCACCATCTAATAGCCCAAACTTAGAAGTTTATAAATTACCCAGATATCAAGAAGCAAACCGATGTCACAAACTGATCATGAAAGCAAATTTACACTCCAATATTTCAGCATAGTTCATGAGGGCCACTAGTAGTTACTGAAAAGCATATCTAAAAAACATGCAGAAATCATAGTATATTAATTCTGCTTTACGAATAAACAATTGAAATAAAGGATGATTCAGCCTGCATAAGAAGATGCTGAAAACCTGATATGTGATGACTAAAGTCATAAAGATTTTCCAATTTTTGATATACACAAGTGCCTTGCAAGGTCATGGCTGTGACGTTGGAGGTAATATGTGGAAATAGTTTGTGTTTAAATAATTATATGAATCAATAAAAAACAAAATCATTGTAACTATTGCAAAATATTACTTTCCATGCACGATTTTCTTTCATTAAAGAAAACAATGCTGAGGAAAACAGAATTATATGGAAACTTCCAGCAGTTGGCATAAATTCTACCCTAAAACATTATCAATGTCCCTGCCTGAAGGGGATTACGGCTGTCAAGATTACGCTTTTTAGCTTTACCGTCTAAATATCAGTAGCTTTAGGGTCGCTCTCCAAATGGTAGTTGTGTTAAGTAATCTGGCCAACCAGGCAGAAAGTGCATGAAAGAAAATGATGCCAATGAGTCGATCGAAATCACAAGATGGTTTAGCAAATAGAAAAATCTAAGACCACTTATTTGACATGAAAAGATCCAAGATCCAAATTTCCAACAGCACAACCATATATATACGTAAGGAGCAATCAAAACAGAGATATTCACAGTGCAACAAATTGTATCTCTAACCCTTAGACAGAAAACACAGCAGAAGAGAGTCAGCTATATCTCCTCCATTAATCTTTTACTTGTGTTACACGCCATCATGACATGTGAACATGTGGAAACGGCAGTTGCAATGCAAAATAGCAGAATCAGTTACAGCTCTTGCTCTCCCTTCCACTCTTCGTCCAGAAGCTCTAAAGGCAGGTAGCTCCTCTCGTAGATTTAGAACAAGCTTGAGAATATATCTCTTTCTTACATCTAGGACTAACCCTTCTCTTCCTTAACATTTTGAGACTATTCACATGACTTGGCCCATCCAAGAGGAGGACCAATGGTATGTTCTCCACAAATACACCAGACATGTTCTCATCAACCAGGATAATTCTTTCCCATAATGGAAGGAAATCAATGGTTAGCTTGTATTAGAAACTTAGGTACAAAAGGAGTTATTCCTTTGTAAATGGATGTGCCTGCATTACATAAATAATCAAAGAGCGGAATGCTTGTGAGGAATACCTAAAACCTACACCAAATTAACAATTCTGAGAAATGAAAGTTAACTAGTTGACTTTCTCTACAGTAACAAGCTAGCAATGTCGTACTATATCTCGTTTCGTTTGGCTATTAGCCTTAGTTGTTATAGCTAAATTGATTATTTATATTCAACAGTATTGTTATGATGGATGTCAAGACTTTCAGGCCCCTTCTTGGATAGGCACGGGTGTATTGTAAACAAAATATTAACAGAGATAATGTATATGCAACTTTTGAAAGGAAAAATAGTGCTCTACACAACATAAGCCCCATGGATTTTAGATATTCCCAAACGTGATGCCATCTCATATTTTCTCTTGCTTCGCATTTTAGGCAAAAAGGTCTTACAAGGTTATAAGGAAGGAGGGCTGACACGTGATCTTTATATTAAAGCATAGTGCAAAAGAAGGCACAACAATTTTCAGAGTATTCACAAATTAAAGCACATGTTAAGTGAAAAGAGTCATACAAATAAAACACATTGTCATTATTGAGTATTATTTTGGTAGTCCTTCCTGCCCCATCTGCCCTACCCCCTTCTTTTGCAGTTAGGAANCATACAAATAAAACACATTGTCATTATTGATTATAATTTTGGTAGTCCTTCCTGCCCCATCTGCCCTACCCCCTTCTTTTGCAGTTAGGAATCTTATAGACTTGCTTCCACTCATACAATATGGAGACGAGAATGAAAAGAAGTGTCATGCTCTTAATTCATTCAATAACTTTCGTATTCCTCTACTCTTCCACAAAGAGTTTGCTTCTTGATATCAAAAACCATGTTTGACTAATAAGAAGTAGCCTCTATATTATACAACTAATAGCAATAGACAGTAACTCTTTACGATATTGCCCTATTAAGCCAAATTGAAATTACCACAATTTAAGCAACCTCTATAATATAGACGTCTGAAGGAAAGAAATAAAAAAAAAACTGTACCCTAGCTCATGCACACACCTTGGTTCACTGCATTCTAGTAGGAGATGACGCTTCAAAAGGCCCTCTAATTTTTCGATAAGATTTATAACGGTCTATTTTTCTTTTCGTTTAAATTCTTCTTGCTTTAGTAGGACTCGCTTACATGCTGGAGGTTCCCTACAACACTATCAGTGCAAGTGCATATGCATACCAATGTCCCTCTTTGTCATATATATAAGCCAAATGACTTAAAGGGATCATGCATACAAAAAGGAGGGGAAACAACAGTTGCCTAAATAACAGGAAAGTGACCCAAATTTTACATAAATCTGGCATAAAATCCCACAAAATTTTCCTATTATGCCGGACCCAATATACATATTTCAAACTCAAACTCACCAAAAGTTCAAGACTTTAGGAGATAAGGTTATTCATAGTATATTAAGGTCATTTCACTTCTTTTTCCTTCCGATGTGGGATTCCACACATGATTTCTCAACTATCCCCCTCTCGCGTGTGGAACCACATCAGGCTTCAACTCCCCTTGAGTCTAATCCACCACTCTCCACAGGCACTGAACCTAAATCACTTTCGCGAGCCCTTACACACGGCGGCACACACCTTGCTCCATTGAGAATTGAGTTTCCATGGCTGCCATAATACCAAGAGTCGATCACAGTTCTTAAGAAGCATTAACAATACCGGCATGTCATGCTACGGCTTAGAGTTCACCCAGAATCTTCAATCCTCAGCTCTGACACTATGTTAAACTGTCATTTCATCTAAAAACTTAAATTGTTAGAGATGTAACACAAGTATTTATACACTTCAACATTCATTAAACATAATGTCAGCCAAATGTCCAGAGCAGGTAAACATAAACCATAGAACTCTAGAAACTAATATAACAAATATGAAGAGTCTCACAGCTCATAAAATTATTTGTTAATTGTGGACAAAAGTCACATGACAAACATAAGAGGGATCACCTCTCACCTTAAACAAGACTTGCACTTAACTGAGATGAACCTATCTGTTCTTTCAACCAGGAAGAGTGTTGTTACAAAGCGTCTCAACTTAATTCCTCTGTTCCATGATACCCTTGTGGGAATTGCTTGATAAGAACCCTGTATCCAATATAAAAAGATATATAAAACAAGTTAAATTGATGTACAAAAGAAAACTTGCAGGCCTAAATTGATGCAAAATGGGAAGAAAAAATAGGCATAATTAGCACAAACAATGTACGTTAGTATCAAACATGAGCACATGTGAGACATCATATCACATGATTCAGTCACATGTTTTAACCCAACATTGCATGAAATATGTGCTTGCATGTTTTGTGGGCAATCTCCAATTATTTCAAGATTCCTATTAATGCTTCAGACTATCACGAGAAATCGAATTCGGAAAAATTTGCTTAGAAAATCCTTGCGTTTGACAACATAATCTATTAAAAATAAACAGAGACTAAATTTTCTGTAAAACAGTTTATAGCACATATAGAAACTTGTTTTCAATCAATACTGCAACCCTGAAATACTGGTAACTTCAATAGAGCACATCAGAAGAAATCAATGAAATGCCAAATGTTCCATCCGAAACGAGTCTTCTTGTTTATTTTCAGGTCATGTTTTCCCACGTTTATGCCGGCCACTGTTTAAATCTAAGCTGACCTGTTTGAGTATCCGGGTCATGTAATCTGACAGTAAACCAACTAACCCAATTTGTTTAACTGAGTTGTGTTTGAGCTGACAAGTGGAATCTGTAAACCAGAAATCCACTACTAAGACTTCAATCTCGCTTGACCAAACCAACTAGATCTTCCATAAACTAAAAAATCACCCTGTACAGATGTTTCCAAAATCAAATAATAAATTCTTCCACCTTATAGGGATTCATTCATAACATTTTAGATCACAAAATGGAAAAATAATTACAAAACGTCATGAATTATCATCAAATTGAATCAGTAAAATGTGTTTATCTGGTCAAAATCCAGTTATTCAAACACTAACTTTTTTGCATATTAACAAGTTGGGTTATGTCATTTTCAGATTGATGTCAGGATCAGGAAAAATCAACCGACCACTAATTTCATGTCAAATTCAAGCACATGTTCCACAACACACAATAATTTATGTAATGACCATACTTTGTGGGTTGGTTTAGCATAGTCCTGTTTCTGCCTCGTGATATAATATGAAGTTCCACGGAGAAAAAAGGGCCCCTACATCCAATATAAACATACACTGAAGTAAAAAGACCAGTCGGTGTTCAATTACCTGCACTTGATGGGTTGCCAATGCCATTATCTCCACCGTAAGCACCCAACAACATTCAACATTACACCAAAACACTACAACATCAAAATTCACCAAAGAAAGTTTATCAGATCACAATAATTCACGCATGCAAAACAAATAGCAGTCATCACAGAATTCAGATGAATTTATCAATTACGGATTAGGGACCAACATAATTACCATTTTTTTTGTGTAAAATTAAGAATTTTACTGTGTTTCAAACCCTAAACACCAATTCTCCGTTTTCCTTTTTTTCTTTTTTATCTTTTTCAGTATGAACAGGAACTTTCTTACATTGCAAATATCTTATATATATATATATATATGTAAGTAGAAGAGAGAGGGAGAGAAGAAGGAAATATATATGTATAGTGTTTGGGTTTACGTGATAGTGAAGCGATGAATGCACAGTTCTATCTGTTTCTTCCAGAGAGTGAAAGAGAGAGATTTGGATAGAGGGCAGAGGAAGTCAGAATGGTAAAATTAGGGTTTTGAAGGGAATTTCTTTAATCTTTTCACTTTCACGGCGGTTGACGACGATAAACCGGTGAAAGAAGCTACGAGCCGGAAAAAACATGTGTCAAAGCCTTCGTGGCAATTCAATGGTCTTTACTCTTGAGTTGTCTTCGCAGAATTGAGTTTGGGGGAGAATCTCATTTTATAGCCCCAATTGATTTCAAAAAAATTAATTTTTTATATTGTATTTTTCAAATATAATGTATTATTCAATTATAACATTTCCGTTAATTTTCATTATTTTTTCCATTAAAATCATCTTATTGACTTTAACAAAAATTAAGGAAATGGCAACATTATAATATTTTAATATATTTAAAATATAAAAAATAAAAAAAATAAAAAAATAAAAAATCTTAAAATTTTCAAGATATAAAATACAATTAGCCCTAATTTGGGTTTGTATGGAGGATTAGTGAATCATCATTCAATTCAGTTATTTTATCTTTTGATATTATATATTGATCTATTTATTATGTTATTTTTAGATTGCCCCAGATGATCTGTAAATCAAAATTTTACAATTAACATTCTAGTATACTACCAACCCCACACTTGGCATAAAAATATAAATTCACTAAGTCATTTAGTATTAATTTTTTTTTTAACCCTACAAATATTAATGTTAATATTTTATTCATAGAGTCTAATTAAATGTATTAATCATTTCAATTCCAAATTGTTTGTTTTTCATGAATCTTATTTTATTAATCTAACTCATTTATTATTTATGTTAATAAATTATTATTATTTTATTCATTTGAACGGATAAATCAACTTTACCATACTAATTTTATATCGACTTTGAGTCAATTATTGAGTATGTCATCCATAGTCTTGAGGCTGCAATTCCGACCCATTAGGGATATCTCGGGGTCGGGATTCACCCAAGAAAAGACACTTTGGTTTTAGGCTAAGCCTGATTGGCAAAATTTTCAAACAGTTAAAATCGTTCTATTTATGATTCCGCTACGGGTATCCCCAATTTTTGGATATTGAATCAAATTATTAAAAAATAAAATTTTGGTAGAGCTAATACAGAATGGAATTGTTTGAGAACACTTCTGAAATTTAAGATCAATAACTCTATGGGGTGATAATTTGACCCAAATAAATTATAACAAATTCTTCTTTAGTTGTAATCTTCAATACTGATATCTACTTCACGACCCGAATCCAGGAATTTGGGATCCACCATGGAATCACCCACCAAAACAGAGAATCTGATTCTTTCTCCCAAGCCACGAGACACGGGCCAAGTCCTCCGTTTCAAACACATTTATATCAGAACCGAACAATGCAGGCGCCGGAAGAGAGATGAGCTCCTGGATTTGGAGCTGTCAACCTCCCCATTTTTTATCACTGATTTACCAAAAAACATGTTATGTTTCCACACGTCATAAAAAATTCCAATTTTACGAGACATCCAAATTGTCAATCTCACAAAATCAATTCAAACCGACCACACAAAATTGAAAGGTTAGTCATATTTAAAGACCAACATCAAGTAAAGCAAACATAAAATCCACATTCTTGTAGCATTTAAAGACCAAACAAAAGGCCTCCTGACCAGTGGCCTGAAACCGCACAACCGAGCAATGGGGTTGAGATTACGACGAAACATAAATCTGCAGGGGTAGAAAGAACCAATACAGCCCTGTCCTGCAAAAAAAAACAACGGCCTAGAGTGCAGCCCTTCATTCCTAATTACTCTCTCTGTTATTAAATATCAGTCATTTTACACAATTTTTTTTGTTCCATAATATTTATCGTTTAATGAAACAAAAACATAATTAATATTTTTTCGTCCAAATTTTCCCTTTAACTTTTCAATGCATTAAATTTAGTAGAGGCTAAATGCCTTTCATATTCCTTTCTTTCCTAATACGTATTGAATAAAAATATTTTAGTTTTATGTAATTATTTTTTACTCATATTAGAACTATTTAATAACTTCCTTAATTCCTGTGTAAAAACTTTAAACGACAGATATTTAGGAACGGAAGGAGTACAATATAAGAGGAATATAACGATGAGATGATTAATTCCATTACTTAAAAAGTCAGAAAACTCCTCTCCTTAATTCATTCCCTCTAGCNAATATCGTGAATTCTAATCTTATGGATAGTGGGTGATTGTATGTAACTGGACCTGCAGGGGTAGAAAGAACCAATACAGTCCTGTCCTGCAAAAAAAAAAACAACGGCCTAGAGTGCAGCCCTTCATTCCTAATTACTCTCTCTGTTCTTAAATATCAGTCATTTTACACAATTTTTTTTGTTTCATAATATCTATCGTTTAATGAAACAAAAACATAATTAATATTTTTTCTTCCAAATTTCCCCTTTAACTTTTCAATGCATTAAATTTAGTAGAGGTTAAATGCCTTTCATATTCCTTTCTTTCCTAATACGTATTGAATAAAAATATTTTAATCTTGTGTAATTATTTTTTACTCATATTAGAACTATTTAATAACTTCCTTAATTCCTGTGTAAAAACTTTAAAAGACAGATATTTAGGAACGGAAGGAGTATAATATAAGAGGAATATAACGATGAGATGAATAATTCCATTACTTAAAAAGTCAGAAAACTCCTCTCCTTAATTCATTCCCTCTAGCNTATGTATAGTGTTTGGGTTTACGTGATAGTGAAGCGATGAATGCACAGTTCTATCTGTTTCTTCCAGAGAGTGAAAGAGAGAGATTTGGATAGAGGGCAGAGGAAGTCAGAATGGTAAAATTAGGGTTTTGAAGGGAATTTCTTTAATCTTTTCACTTTCACGGCGGTTGACGACGATAAACCGGTGAAAGAAGCTACGAGCCGGAAAAAACATGTGTCAAAGCCTTCGTGGCAATTCAATGGTCTTTACTCTTGAGTTGTCTTCGCAGAATTGAGTTTGGGGGAGAATCTCGTTTTATAGCCCCAATTGATTTCAAAAAAATTAATTTTTTATATTGTATTTTTCAAATATAATGTATTATTCAATTATAACATTTCCGTTAATTTTCATTATTTTTTCCATTAAAATCATCTTATTGACTTTAACAAAAATTAAGGAAATGGCAACATTATAATATTTTAATATATTTAAAATATAAAAAATAAAAAAATTAAAAAAATAAAAAATCTTAAAATTTTCAAGATATAAAATACAATTAGCCCTAATTTGGGTTTGTATGGAGGATTAGTGAATCATCATTCAATTCAGTTATTTTATCTTTTGATATTATATATTGATCTATTTATTATGTTATTTTTAGATTGCCCCAGATGATCTGTAAATCAAAATTTTACAATTAACATTCTAGTATACTACCAACCCCACACTTGGCATAAAAATATAAATTCACTAAGTCATTTAGTATTAATTTTTTTTTTAACCCTACAAATATTAATGTTAATATTTTATTCATAGAGTCTAATTAAATGTATTAATCATTTCAATTCCAAATTGTTTGTTTTTCATGAATCTTATTTTATTAATCTAACTCATTTATTATTTATGTTAATAAATTATTATTATTTTATTCATTTGAACGGATAAATCAACTTTACCATACTAATTTTATATCGACTTTGAGTCAATTATTGAGTATGTCATCCATAGTCTTGAGGCTGCAATTCCGACCCATTAGGGATATCTCGGGGTCGGGATTCACCCAAGAAAAGACACTTTGGTTTTAGGCTAAGCCTGATTGGCAAAATTTTCAAACAGTTAAAATCGTTCTATTTATGATTCCGCTACGGGTATCCCCAATTTTTGGATATTGAATCAAATTATTAAAAAATAAAATTTTGGTAGAGCTAATACAGAATGGAATTGTTTGAGAACACTTCTGAAATTTAAGATCAATAACTCTATGGGGTGATAATTTGACCCAAATAAATTATAACAAATTCTTCTTTAGTTGTAATCTTCAATACTGATATCTACTTCACGACCCGAATCCAGGAATTTGGGATCCACCATGGAATCACCCACCAAAACAGAGAATCTGATTCTTTCTCCCAAGCCACGAGACACGGGCCAAGTCCTCCGTTTCAAACACATTTATATCAGAACCGAACAATGCAGGCGCCGGAAGAGAGATGAGCTCCTGGATTTGGAGCTGTCAACCTCCCCATTTTTTATCACTGATTTACCAAAAAACATGTTATGTTTCCACACGTCATAAAAAATTCCAATTTTACGAGACATCCAAATTGTCAATCTCACAAAATCAATTCAAACCGACCACACAAAATTGAAAGGTTGGTCATATTTAAAGACCAACATCAAGTAAAGCAAACATAAAATCCACATTCTTGTAGCATTTAAAGACCAAACAAAAGGCCTCCTGACCAGTGGCCTGAAACCGCACAACCGAGCAATGGGGTTGAGATTACGACGAAACATAAATCTGCAGGGGTAGAAAGAACCAATACAGCCCTGTCCTGCAAAAAAAAACAACGGCCTAGAGTGCAGCCCTTCATTCCTAATTACTCTCTCTGTTATTAAATATCAGTCATTTTACACAATTTTTTTTGTTCCATAATATTTATCGTTTAATGAAACAAAAACATAATTAATATTTTTTCGTCCAAATTTTCCCTTTAACTTTTCAATGCATTAAATTTAGTAGAGGCTAAATGCCTTTCATATTCCTTTCTTTCCTAATACGTATTGAATAAAAATATTTTAGTTTTATGTAATTATTTTTTACTCATATTAGAACTATTTAATAACTTCCTTAATTCCTGTGTAAAAACTTTAAACGACAGATATTTAGGAACGGAAGGAGTACAATATAAGAGGAATATAACGATGAGATGATTAATTCCATTACTTAAAAAGTCAGAAAACTCCTCTCCTTAATTCATTCCCTCTAGCATTCCATCTTTGGGAACATACAAACGATGGGTACTAGAAACAAGGCTCCTTAAGGGAGAACGCCAAAAGTTTCCACAGGCCAAAAAAAGGGACCAAATTACGATAATCAAAATCAATTAAACCTTAATAAAAGAAATCAACATATCCCGTGTTCTTCGCCATAGATATGCTATATTTTGCCTTGGCAGCATATGCCTAAACTTGCCCCTAATCCTGCACAATGCACTTTATATCAGCCAACAGTGTAGCTAACTTTAATAAGACTTCAATAGTTTAAACACGCTACCACCAAAACAAGCAATACCAGATATCCTGGCTAATCAAAGCCAGACAAGTGTTTTTGACGAATTGTTTTCAACAAAACCAAAATCCCAGTTCCAAACAATATTTTCCAATCAATCATAACCAGCATCAACTTGGACCGTGCCACTTTGTCGCCCATAGAAATTCCCCCCACCACGCTTCGAACCCCTCTCCCTGTACGTCAAGGCCACATTATGAGATCCATCCCTTGGTCCCTCAAAATTTTCGGATTTGCTATCATTGGTTGGCCCAACTGGCTGATACCCATAATGCGAGTTGTGCCTCTGCCTACCCCGGTTCACTGGTGTATTATGATGCCTGTTATCCTGGTCAGCATAGCTCCAGTCTCTGCCAGATTCATGCCCTCTGCTAGAATGATTGTTTGGGTTTCCATTTTTACGAAACCCCACATAGAAGCGCCGCTCATGAAGGCTATCCACATTTGCAGGATCCTGGTTATCTGTACTGACAGGACCTTCGTTCGGGGAGTAGGGACGTTCTTTAAATGAGCCTGCCTCCCTTTCTCCCCGAGCTTCTTGTTGCCCTACATTGGATGTTTCTGCCACTTTTTTACTTCCGGGCACAGATAGATCATGGAGTGGCTGAGCCATAACTTCAATACTGGCTTTGTCATTTTGTGGTGGAAGAGGAGAATCCTTTTTCTTAGCCCTACCAGCTTCTGCATTAACATGATGACCTCCACTGGACCTGCTTCCCAGTTGAGTATTAGCTGAATATGCCTGCGATTTAGGTTGCCAATGAGATGTCGTTCGCTCCCCAGTGCCATGATTTTCTTTCAAAGCAACAATTCTGTCTGATTGGCTCACCTCAAAAGAGGCAGATTGAATGCAACTTTTGTTCATCTCCTCACCATCGATATTTTTATGATCAAGCTTATGATAAGTCCCCGAGCTTCTATTGCCCTTGAATGGATGTCGCTTTCCTTTCCCCATTGCTCCCTGATTTTTCCCGACAGGAGCAATAATAGGAGCAGCTGCATCAGAAGCGTGAGGAGTGTTCCCATCTGAAGTGTTCCACTCGTCAGAACCCTCCTGTTGAGCTTTTACAATATTTTCATCAGGCTTTAAGGACAGTAGTTGTTCCATGTGTTTATCAGTATTGCTAGGGTTTGAAATGGAAGATGATCCATGTTGCAAACCGGGCAGACGTGATGATTCTGTTGAACTCCGTTGGCGCCATGCTCCATATGTTTTTGCCTGCTTATTTTGCCTGCTATCCCCATTCTTGGTCTCCAAAGTAGGTTCTACATTTCCAATCGTACAGCTAGCAGGTTGAGAACTTTCATTGCTCAGAGAACCAGGTTGGAAACTCCCAGTCATTTCATCAGATGTGGTTTTAATGGTTGTAGCTGACACTGGTTGCTGGAAACTTCCCTGTTGAGCCAGCTCTTTCGCCACTGGCTTGGGAACATATCTCTCCATCTCTGCCCTCTTGCTTTTCATGTTATTCTGCACAGAATTATCACTCTTAGATGATGTTGTAAGAACATCAGGCATAGTTCTCTGACTGGCTTCATCTGCAAACTCAGCTTTGTTTTGTGATCGCACAGGTGCCCAAATAACAGCATCACTGCTCTGATATTTATCCACCGATCTGTTTACTTGTTGGTTCCTTGGCATCCTGCGGGAGTGCTGTGATTTCAACTGGTTATTCACTCTACCATGGGACTCTTCCCTTGGTAAAGAAGAGCACTGCTCTGAGGATTGGATTGCATCTTTGGCATCAATCACTGACTGAACTGAACATGGATCCGACTCTACATTAGAAACCTTGGCCTTTCCACTTTCAGTGGGAGCTTTTGGAGGATTAGTTTCATTTGACACTGGTGAAGATAAAGCAGCAGCAGAAGACACATCATCCAGCTTATGCTTGTTCTTGCCACTCCAGTTATTTTTCCTTCTCTGAAGTGCTGAGGATTCAGCCATGGTACTTGAGTTATTGGGCAATCTTGACTCGCCACTTGAGCCCACATCAACAGGAACCACATCAGTAGGTACGTCATTAACAACTACATCAACATGATTTTTAGGCGCCTCAGTTGCCCTATTTCGAGTTGATTTTTCAACCAATTTCTTCTCCAATGACATATTATGCTTCTGTTTATAGTCCATGCGCTTATGCTTGGAGACAACACTATCATTCACTTGAGAGGCAGCTATAGTGTCAGCAGCATCACCATTATCAACTTCCTGTTTCAAGGGCAAAGACTTGCCATGTGGAATAACAGGTTCCTGCTGGACTTTATTTGGCGTCTCTAGAAGTGAATCTTTGGACAGTGCAGTAGATTCTTCAACCCCACTGGAACTGCCTCCACTAACCTGAGGGACTACACCAGAATTGAAAATCAAATCTGAGCTAGGTGCTTCACAGTTGGTAGCAACCGTCACTGGCTCAGCCAGAGAGTGGGATTCTTCCTGCTCCCGCTGGATAGTATCAGTGGACAAATCTTTTTCCCACTTCTGGGTTGAACCATTCCTAGCATGTGCACGCTGGTTCAACTCCTCCAGTTTTGCTAGAGCCTTTGCCTTCTGCTCTCTTGTTCGTTCTTCCTCTTGCTTCTGTCTTTGTATTGCCCGTTGCTTGGCTAACTCTATGCTCTTAGCACGCTTATGCAAAATATGAAAAAAGTGGCAGATGAAGAATAATAACAAAAGATAAGCAGGCACTAACTTGAAATAAGTATAGATATATTACCTGTGCCTGGCAATCACCTGGATCAAACATTCGGGCCAAAGATTCTCCCTCGTCCTTCGCTGGAAGTTTCATCTCAGACTGGCTGGCAACCTTCACAGGGTCATGGCAGTCCTGTGCACGAACATCAGAAGTAGGTTCAAAACTTGCAGCTGAAATGGCACCAAAAGTCTCAGCAGGTAAAGGTTTCTTTCGCCATCCATCAACATCATGAGTGTGGAGCCTTACTTTACCATGATGATCAATTCTACCTTGCACACCATGATAACCTCTCCTGCAAATTTGCAGACGAATCTTTTGTCGATAGATCATCACAAGTATAAAATCAGTAGACCGTGCTTAAAACAAACCTTGAAATGGTAGCCCCGCTCGCAGCTGTTGGCTGTAGGGTCTTATCTCCTGAAGAAACACCCACTTCGAGGGAGGCAGGGATAAGATTTCCTGTAGTGCAAGTTCTTTCAACAGTGGCAATACCAGCTTCATTAGTATAACTGCTGAACTTCGCATTAACATCCATCAATCTGTTCTTCTGCTCTTCCCTACTAGAAGTGGATGCAACATCATGTTGTCCACCTTCGATTTTCTTTATAAAAGTCGAATCTTTTGGGGTAGCTGGGAATAGTTGAGAAGCTTTTGGAGAAGAAGATGGTGAAATTCCTGATTTCTTTACCCAACTTTCATCAAATAACCTTGCATTGCCTCTGTTTTCAGGTATGTTTACTTTAGCAGAACCAGAAGAACTTCCTCGATTGTCAAAAGTTCGAGAAGAATTCTCACCAACAGTCATTGTTCTTCTTGTATACATCTCTTCATCGCTTCTTGTTTCTGCTCCCCATTCATTCTTCCACGACAATGTTCTTGGTTGGTCGCCCTTTTCAAAACTAGAGGCATTAGCTGGTGCAGTGTGTTTCTGATTCCCTACTTCCTCTTTTCCATCCCATTCATTGGGTTGCTTCAGAAGAACTTTGTGTGGTCCTTGTGTATCGTCAGAATGGCCAGGTTTCACTGGCTCTGATGCCAATGTTTTGGCAGCATAACCATGCTCACCAAGTTTGGCATGGGTATTGCCAGGATCAGAATCATTTTGGGCAGGGTACCTGCTATATACAGACGGAGTGGCTTCCATTCCCCTAAATGGAAAATCTCGTTCGTTGGAACTGCAGTAGCCCATTGGAGGGNCAGAATCATTTTGGGCAGGGTACCTGCTATATACAGACGGAGTGGCTGCCATTCCCCTAAATGGAAAATCTCGTTCGTTGGAACTGCAGTAGCCCATTGGAGGGCCATAATAGCCCTCATAGGCCACTGGACCAGGGTAAAAACTAGGCCTAATTGGCATTCCTGGGCGCATATAAGCATCAGGCATAAGGGGCCTGCATAGATCTCCATTTTTCGGATGGGCTCCTCTTGGCCCTCCACCAGCTGGAGGAACTGGCTGTGAACTTGATAAAACGGGATGTGGAATCTGAGGATGATAATAAGGAAATGGTTCAATTGGGAAGCCACCAGGAGCAACAGGGGTACCATATGGTGGAACTCCTGGAGGTCCTCTATACCAAACAGCTGGAGGAGCATTCATTGGAGGACCATGCCAGGCGTCAAAATGCTGAGGGGGAACATTAGGGTACTGTTGAGAGTCCCCCTGCCACTTTTCCATGCTAGGCTGGACCCCATTTTCAATGTGTTGAGGACCATCTCTTTTCCAAGTATTGGCAGGTCCATTATTTATGTCTGCATCAAAAGACACATCACCTGAAAGTACATAACACTTGCATTACTCTTTTCATAAGAAATTGTTTCATCATATCACATTACAAACATTATCAAAACCACTTTTTAGGGATTTTAAGAAACTTTAAAAAAACAATCGAGTAATATTCACAAACCAGCAGGAGAAGATGCAGGCCTCTCTTTTGCAAGTGCAACTCTTCCCGAAGATGAGCTAGGACGATCATGAAAGCCATGATCTGGCATGAATTGTTGACCAAGCCATTAAAAAATGTAATTGGTACATCAATATTTTAAAGACTACCCCATACATGTCTCCCTTAAATCATCTCCACTAGGACCACTACAATATACTTCTCAGCTTGCAGAAGAAACGTTCAAAAAAGAAAATTCAGTGGAAAAATTTTCCCAGTGAGATAGTATGCAAACAATACCAAGGCTCATGTCTACGACTGGTTCAAACATGTCAAACTAGTATGCATACATACAAGCACTCTACTGATAATCTGATATCCATGTAACAAAGGAGTAATTAACAAGTGTGATTCTTCCAGTAACCTTTTAGCTGCTACAATAACAGACTGACACATCCCAACACATTCTATATCTTTTTTCAGTTCAGTTCAGTCCAATAATAAAACACCATCCTGTCAACTATCTGCAGACAAGAGATATATGACTTGGGACTAAAAAATACCAAATAACCAAGAAATGTAACTGAGAAGTTGCAAAAAACAAGGACTCATCTTAAACCGAAAAGAGCGAAAACTAGTAGACCAAGAACTTGTACACCCACCATAGAGGCAACCAAAATCAATGAACCCGACTGTAAGAAAAATATCAACAGAAAGGCAACTGAAATGGAATTTTTTAAAAGCAAAATCACCTTCAGACTCCATATTCTTTCCAGAATTGTCTCTCTCAGACCCAAGCGTTGGGAAATCTCCAGAACTCAAAGAGAAACCATCATTCTTGGAGGATGAGACTCCCTACATGTATAACATACACAAATTAAAACATGCGAGCCAGTAAGAGACTATGCAGCACCCTCAACAGAACAAGCCGCAACAAAAAGAATAGATACAACATACATGGATATGATGCCAAACAACATAACTTCCTGATCAATTCTTTCAAATATGTGAACTAAAGATCTGCGGCATATGATTTTTAACACAAACTCAAGAGTAGTATAGCTTTGTCTGAAAGTAAGCACTCAAAACATGAAGACCTAACATTGAACTGCTTAGCTATGGCACCATACCAATTTCTCCACGGCAGCAGTTGGGACCCATGCAGATTTATCAGATGAGAGTTCAGCAAACCGTGATAATTGTGAGCTGCCGGGTCTAGTTTCTGCACTGCGAGGCCGCAATGAAGTCAATGACGTTTGATTTGATGTCACCAACCCAGAAGCTGATGATGGCCTAGAATTTGGACCCCATGCACTGACAGAAGCTTCTTGCATTCTATCGCTACCAGCAGTCGATGGTCGAGTGCCGCTTCCACCAGATGAAGGGCAACCGCTGAGGTGACTTGGTGACCCAGTACCACCATCAGGACTAGGACACTGTGTTGAGGAACCCCATGCGTTTGATGCAGAGGAAGAGAAACGGCTACCCCAGCTAAGAGTACCCCTATCACATGAACAAGCATATGGATCAGTTCAATGGGAACACTTCCTCCGGACATACTAAAAGAAAGCTTACCACTGCTTTTGGGGTTTTTTTTTTTTTTTTTGGGGGGGGGGAAGAGAACTCAGAAATAATGGGTATGTGAGAGAGAGAGTATAAAAAGATTAGCAAAACACAGAGTAAGGATTACCCACTTGGGAACAATTTCCACATTTGGGTCCAAGCCATGATTCTCTAACCTTGAAACAGCATTGCACAAGTTTAGAGCAAACAAGTAAAGAAGCAAATAGAACTCTGAAAAAATTCGCCGGAAATTAAGTACCTTTGGCTGGGTAAGTTCAAAGGTTTTGGAGCAGCAACTTTCCCCAAAACAGTCATGCCACCTCTTCTTCCAGAGGCCCACCTAAAACAACAAAATGATGAGACCATATAAAGATTTCCTAATTACAGAAAAGTGCCGATTTAAAGATCTCCTATAATTCTTGCAAAGATAATATCAGCGCAAGGGGGGAAATCCACGACAAGCCATACATAAGACAGATTCTCTTCCTAAAACATAAAGGTGATATTTAAAGAAGCTCGTACAAACTGTCAAATAATAACAAACAGTACAATAGCTGTAAAACAGAATGACTTAAAATGCAATCCAACCCCGACATCTACTGTAACCATAAGGAACTTCTGTTGAAACAAGATACCAAGTTCACAGCTATGACAGAGACCATATCTCTCTGTAACACATCAGGACATTTGAACCAGTCCAGCCACTCCTCCACAGGGGATGTCTTCTTCTTCCACCAAAAGGAAGCACCAGCATACAGAACGCCTAGAGGGACCACTAGAGTCCACATGCGGATATATAGAGAGGCCTATTGTTACATGGACTAAGGTACGAGCGTTAGGTGTGAATGATGAGTCTGTGGCTCAAGGAACCTAACTGGAGTTTCCTCCAATGTCAGGACTCATCCAGAAAGTGTCCAACAGATGCAGATAGTTACTTGGACAGGCCTTGCATGCTCAATAAAGACACATTTTACTTGGGAAATATACAAGAGACTTCATTGAGAAAAGACAGCATAATGTGTGATTATCTTAGTAATGTAAATTTACGTGCAGAAACATAGGCAATAGCAGAAGACTGTGAGCACATGTTCAAAATAGAATCTAAGTGGGGCTTTTTTTAGGTAAGAATAGTATTGGAGTCAATCAATAATATGATGAAGTAAAAGTTTAATTCATATGAAAGGACTTTTTTTTTTCAAAGAAACAATAATATTACTGATCATAAAATATAAATGTAACAGTCAAAGGTGGACAAGTTGTCCCAACCGATAACTGATAAAGAAAACACTGAAGCTATCCAACTCAATGTGATGCTATAAAGAGGAATATATTCAAACTCCTTCGTAGTCGAAGCCCAAAAGGAGGCCATAAAGTAAATCCAATCGCATAATCCTTCCAAGTCCTCACATTTATCCCCAAAAATCCTAGCATTCCTTTCTAACCAAACAACCCATATGGTGGCAAAAAAAGCACAATCCCATAGAGTCCTCCATCTTCTATTATTTTCCCCACCCATAACATCCAAACTACTTGGCCTCAACCAACTAATTCCCACATGATAAAACAATTTGTCCCATAGTAAAAGCGTAATGGGGCAATATAGGAATAACTGATTCACACTCTCCCTATCACTTTTGCACATAATACACCAATGCAGTGAAAAACAAATTGTAGATCTCTTTGTTTGAAGCACATCATAAGTGTTAATCTTACCATGAGCAATTGCCCATGGACAAATGTGCACCTTTAAAGACACTTTAACTTCCCAAATCATCTTTAAAGGAGAATATGAAAGGGCTTTTTTAGAACTTAAATGTTATAAAAACATTTTTTAAAGGACCTGTTTTTGGCAACAACAGTGTGACATTGCCGTGCCATATCCATCCAATTGCCATGTCAAACTCCCATCCATGCTATGAAATATGGATACTTCGTCAAGGTCAACATACCCCTATGAAATACAGATACTTTGTTAAGGTTGACGTATCCGTATCAGATACCGTATCAGATATGATACTTGTCGGATACTCGAACATACATATCGAATACACATTAAACATATCCAATAATAATTAAATATATGTATACTTCGCAAATACTTCGATAGGCAAATAAGTATGAATAATTTTTAATTTTAATCTTTACCCCTTCCTTTTGATTTCATATAAAATGTAATACATCAACAAAAATTCATATAACTTGGAAAACACCTAATACATGGGTGTTTTCCAAGTATTATCCATCATCACATGTTTAAAGAGTTTAAATGAGTTGATTACTCTATAATCTCAGCAACAAATACTTCTAAGCAATCAACATAGTTAAATGTTGATTTTTATTCCTTTAATTTATCACGTTCATTTTTTAGATGTATCATAGTGAGGGTGTCAAATGTGTCGTGTTCGTGTGATCTACATGTCGTGTCATTGTTATTCGTATCGTGTTCGTGTCAAAACCCACGAAAACAAAATCTATTTAATGTGTTCTGAGTATTAAATATTAGTTTAGACTATTTATTATACGTATTTAATAATCGTATCAATTTTATAATTGTTCGTGTCGGGTTCATGTCGATTTCATATTAACGAGTCAGAATTGACACCCTTATACTATAGTGAGACAATAGGTAACTTTTTGAAAATAAAAAATTTATTAATATTGTTTATTACTATTAAAGAATCACTAAAAATTTTAATTATCAATTCATTACATAATAATAAAAATATAAAATATATATATTTATAGATGTATCCCAGACATATGCGTATCTTTTTTTTTAAGATTTTGTCGCAACGTACCCGTATTCGTATTCATATTCGTATTTGTATCCGTCCTACCTAAACATACCCAAATCAGATACTATACACAAGGATACACATCATACATATCCAATAATTAATAAAATATGAAAATATTTCATAGATACTTTTACATATGGAACAAGATGTACAATATTTAATTTTAATCTATATCTTCTCCTTTCACGCTCACATACAAATACAATACAAAACATCAACAGAATTTCATTTGACTTTGAAGACACGAGTATTTTTTAAGTATTATCTACTATTACATATCAAAAGGGTATAAAAATGAATTAGTTACACTATAATCTTAAAAACAAATATTTATAATCAAACCAACTAGTTAAATGTTGGTTCTGATTCCTCTAATTGATACACTCACTTATGAATATATCATAAAGAAATAATATTACACATTTTTCAAAGTAAAAATTGTTACTTTTGCTTACCACTGTTAAAAAATTACTAAAAATTATAATTTTTAAGTCATTAAATATTATTNAAATCATAAAGAAATAATATTACACATTTTTCAAAGTAAAAATTGTTACTTTTGTTTACCACTGTTAAAAAATTACTAAAAATTATAATTTTTAAGTCATTAAATATTATTAAAATATAAAATATATTTTATTATAGGCGTATCCTTGTCGTATCCGTATCTTATTTTTTTAGATTTTATCATATTGCCGCATCCGTATTGTATCGTACCCCTATCTTGTATCCATGTTTCCTAACATCCAAATAATGTTGTGTCGTGTCGAGTAGGGTATTTTGGCCTAGAGAACCACGTCCGCGTAACACAGAGAAGCCAATACAGCAAATAAGGCATCACCATTGTTACACCAGTAACTACATGAAAGTCTTGCTAGGGCAAGTATGTACTACATGAAAGCCTTGCTAGGGCAAGTATGTACATAGATGAAGAAGAACTATTCCCACATAGAAATCATGAGTATTCCCTTGCCACTATATTGAGACTGCCCTGTTCCCATAAACTCATCTACCTCTCACAGGCCATTAATTATGCGGGCGTGGTTCTAATTTCTCAATTTGGTGAGGAATTGCTTGGCAACTTCTAGTTCAACCAAAACCCAAAAAAAAATATCTATTACAAAATGTCCTCCTAAATATAAAATTTGCAAGGAAAGAGTTAAACAACCCCGTGTACCAACTAAATCCTCCAAAATAGATGCCCAGGTAAGCTCAATGAAGCCCCCAAAATTGTTTTGATCTAAGCAACTAGCATTCCTTTCCAGTATCAAGGTCATGTCCACGGCTTCCCAATCTATTCCCAATATTTTTTTCCCCATGGACTTCTAATTTCAGAATTCAGAATATTATCATGGCAAAGATATTCTAATTCCAGAATTTTTCACATCTAACAACTAATGCACAGAAGCAAGCCATCCATTATCACACATAATATCTTTCATCTTGGGGTTTATATACGTCCCCTCAATGGGACAACCAGATCCTTGGCTATCAAAGAAACAAAAATAGATAGAAATTGAGTTGTAAAGGTTGTTTAGTACCTTCGCTCTCCAGCCAACATACTTGAAGTCATTGTCCAAATGTCGTCCAAAGGTCATCCAAACAATTTTCTCACAGCCTGGAGAGAAGAAGCAGAAGGAAAATTCGATTAATAATTAATAAATTGTTGCCAATCAAAAAAATATATATATGTTCATGAAATAAGCCTTCACGATTGAGGCCATGCATATACATTTATTATATGCATGAGTGTAATAGCAACAGATTTACTGGCTAATCAAAAAAATGTCTTCAGATCTCCGACACATAAAGTCTATGGTCCATATTATTAAAGCAAGTTATATGTCAAACACTAAATGTTAAACAACTCCAAGGAGCATGGAATATATTATGATTGACTAGGGCTAGAAATGTTACCTATTAAAAGGTCGAAAAGGGCTGTGCTGGGTGCTATGAACAGTAAACTTTGAATAATATCTCAAGAAAAGAAAGAACGGGGAGGAGGAGAAGAAATCTAGAACTGCCCCGGATTCACCCTGAAGGTAAATCTGAGAATATCCTAAGAATTCCACATTAGAATCCCATAAAAACACCACTTTCTTCATACAATGCTTTGCATGAGCTTAAATCTGATATAAAATGCAAAAGAAAAGATATTCAATGTGTTTTAACATTTCTATTTCCCTTTTTACTCAAAAAAAATAATAAAAAATAGTTGGTATGAATCGCCATAGGTGGCATGAAAGTAATCTACATATTTTCTGGACGAGGGTGTGACATTACAAGGACTTCATATGGATTTTTAACAGAACTACAATAGTATGTAGTAGTCAAAATGCCAGAGTTTGAATTTAGCCTTGGCACAAGTAGAACTATAGCAAACTATAATTGCGAACATAACGTCTCTACGTAGTTCAGTATGTAAAACCGTGACTGAGTAATTTGTGAAGCAACTTAATATTTATAGGGTGAGTTCTGAAAAATTATTCACAAGATTCCAAATAATTAATGACGTTTAGTGGAATCATTCCTCATAGCCATCATTCTCCAAAACCCTTATCAATTGCCAATTGCCTCTTGCCCTTCATATATTGATTCAAAAACAAAATTTTGCTGTCCAAAATTTGCAGTAACCAAATATCTAAAATTGCAACCCATTCAATGTACCCAAATACTGTAGGATCCAATCACTGAGGATTCCAATATATCAATATTGTCATCGAACCAGACTAGTCACAACATGATATGGCAGAAAAATATATGCCGATTATAAGAATCTAGCTTGGAGTTATATATTTCAAGAAATTAATATATTTTCTTCTTTTAAGAGTCTAGAGGTTAGAACTTTGGGTGATTCAAAGATTATTGTAGCACAAGAGCATGGTGTTGATACTTGATAGACACTTCCAATAAGGGAAAAAAAGTACACTTAAGAGTGAGATCAACTCACTGAAGGCATCATAAGAATTAACTTGCATGCATGTCATATC